CCTTTCCCTGCTTAATGGCATCAATAAACGCCCTTTGAACTGAACTGAAGAGCAAGCCACGCGCGCTTGGAAGAGCGTATGTTTCCCTCAACCTTGTCAGATGGTGCAAGCAGTAGGAGTCATGCCCGTTGCTAACCCCACTACAACCTTCCTGGGAGGCCGCTCTACTCAGCTCACGGCCCGAGCGACAGCGAGCGCTGCTCGAACGGGCTAGACGGGTAGTGGTGGCCTGCGGGGCCTTGGACTTGGTGACCTGACCCGGGGGGCTTCACTGAACAGACTCAATTAAAGTTTTTACCACCACCACCACCACGAGGTTGATCACGTCTACTTTAGTCATCGTGCTCCTGTATCCTTCACGCCTTGTTCCTTTAAAGAAACGCAGAAGTTTGTTTGGGATCTAGGGAAGTTTAATGCAAAGCTCCTAAATGATGAATTTTTTGTAAACAGGGTTCGGCGACATCTTGAAGATTTGGAAATAACTAATAGAAAATAATTCGGAATTAAATAGGAATAGTTTAAACATAAACTAAGAAGCTAGCTCTAGAACACTTCAGTTTTTTAAAGCACGAATAAAAGAAAGAGTGGAACGGTTTAAACGCACTTCTTCAAAAGCTAATGAGGGGGGAGTGCACTTTTCCAGGTTCGTTTTCGGAGGATATAATTAGTAAAACAAAAGCGCCTTGAGGCTCTTGATACTGGACGTGGTTATCGCTCGGAGAGATACCCACCCGAAAAGGGCGATAGGAACAGAAAAACACATGAGTAAGAATATGAAGTCAGCGAGATTATGTATCAGGACGTACTGTCGCGCGACAAAGGAATCATCGAACGCGCTTCAGTAGAATATTATAAAGTACATTTCAGTTACCATGCGCCCAAAAAAGAATGGTTTCCAGGGGTTTTATTAACCTTTATTGCCGAGATTTGTAACCGATTAAAAAAAGAAAAAAAGTTTGAACAGCCCGTCACGTAACCGGAATTTGAAAAGGTGATTGAGAATTTGAAGCCTGACAGAGCTCCAGGACCAGACGGTCTTGGCGCTCAGTTTTACAGCGCGTTTAAGGACAAACTGAGTAATTAGTGAAGCAAACCGACTAAAAGCTTTACCGCCGTCGTTTTTGCGCACGATTTTATACCCAAAAGTGGGGACGTCTCAAAACTTTGTTTTGTTGGATCATACCGTCTGATCACAATAACTTAAAGTAAACTATAAGATACTGATGAAGGTTTTAGCGGAAAGTTTTCTATAGATAAATATAATCGTCGGCCCACATTAGACGTGTGGAATAAAAGGGAGGAGCGTCGTGAAAAATGTTCATGTCGCCCGGAACATTCTGGTATGTTGGTACTCATATGTACGAAGAGTTGCCGTGTTATAGGCCGACCTAGAAAAAAACGTTCGACCGCGTGTCACACGAAATTCTTTTTTCTCTAATAGAACATGTTAACCAGGGCCCGTTTGCTCGAAGCACTAACCGCGGCTAAAGTTAGCCGCAGTACCTAGGAGAGGGATTTTGAGATCACGTGACTGGCTCGGTAGGGATGCGGGGAACATGGCGGTGCCCCAGTGAGTGAGTGCCGCTCGCTTGGGAACTAATATGTCGTTGTGATTGCAATATCGGGCGCGTTAGTCAGCAACATATGGTTCAGGAGGCTTTCGCTTTGCCTTACCTCACTTAAACCGCAAAGCATGGGCAATGACATCGCCACATTTTTTAGATAGTGTTTCGATTCTGGGCACTCCTAAGCCTAAATGAACGCGATAATTGTCGGCATAGCAACGTCTTTGGAAAGCGGATTGTTGATAGCACACAAAAGCAGACGGCGTCCCAACATACCTTTTTTCTAAATTATCCCAGCACCGAGGTGCATGCTACGACTGTAGTTGCACGCGTCGCACGTGCTGGCGTCTGCAGTAGCAACCGTTCTAAAGCAAAAAGTATAAAACAAATTTTGCCTTGCACGCGCGTTCATTAAAGCCTTATTATAATTTTTTACTTCAAATCTTTTATAAGAGCAAGGCCAGCGCGCGTGAACCGTAGCATTACTAGCATTACACTTCCAGCGTTCTCCTCGCGATGCTTGGATAATTTAGAAAAAAGTCTGTCGGGACGCTGTCTGCTTTTGTGTGCTATCAACAATCCGCTTTCCAAAGACGTTGCCATGCCGACAATTATCGCGTCAATTTAGGCTTAGGAATGCCCAGAATCGAAACACCATCTAAAAAATGCGGCGATGTCATTGCCCATGCTTTGCGGTTTAAGTGAGGTAAGGCAGAGCGAAAGCCTCCTGCATTATTCGTTGCTGACTAACGCGCCCAATATCGCAGCTACAACGACATATTAGTTCCAAAGCGACCGGCGCTCACTTACTGGGGCACCGCCATGTTTCCCCGCATCCCTACCGAGCCAGTAACGTGATCTCGAAATCCCTCTTCTAGGTACTGCGGCTAACTTTAGCCGCGGTTAGCGCTTCGAGCAAACGGGCCCAGGTGGTTTGTCTTGTCCGACGGTGTACGCATGGCGTACCAGAACTGCGCCGCTAGCCTTGTTATAAACAAGTATGTGAGCTTTTCTCTACGTTGCAACAAGGCTGCCCACTTTCGCCTTTTCTTTTTTATATTTTTCTTGAGCCGTTTTGTCTAAGTATCATTAAGAGTAGCTTTATTCGTAAGTTTAAGTTGGAAGCTACAGAGGTGCGTATTTTAGCGTACGCGAATGACGTGACGATTTTTGCGTAGACTCCAAGACTGTCCATAAAGCTGTCATGTTCACAGAGATGTTTTACGAAAATATTAACTCCGTCAACTGGGATAAGCGTTTGGGTCTTTGGCAAGGCTATTCACCTTCAACGCCGGCTGTTTTAAACATCATGTATGGATCGAATCGCCGCGCCGTTATCTTGAAGTTCCCCTGGAACACTATTGCAACAATGACGACTATTGGCGTGATCAGGTTGAAGTTTTACGCGCAAAAGTGACCAAGTTGGTAGGTTACGGAATGTCTAATTTTTACGTGCTTCGACTTGCAATGCGTTTCTTACGGGAAATGTGTGGTTAGTTTTGAAGGAGATGCATTGCTCATGGATCAACATACAATGTGGGTACTGTGTTTTCGCTGTCTTTATTTGGCGGAATACCCCCCGCCTCCGGGGGGCGGGGGGGGTATTTCTTTTGTGATACAACTTGATAATATATTTACTTTTCTCAGAGACCTGAGAGAACCATTTTTACAAACCCGCATTCAAGTGAGATTGCGTGGTGCACTCTCCTGGGTTTATTGTTTCGGCAAGCAAGGACGTAGTGCGTCCTTGCTTGTTTTTGGTGTTGTTTTTGGTTCATGTTTTTTAGTCACGCGTTTCTCACTCAAATACTTTTCTTGTGTGTCGAGCAAGCGGCTAAGGAAGGGTTCAATTGATTTGCTTTTTTTTTTTCTTTTTCGGTAACGTTTTTGTACAGTGCTGGCCCAGTGCAGGATATCTTAAAGCGAGTCAAGCGACTGGGGGTAACCCCTAACACGAATACTTTTCTTTCTTTTAAGTTGCGTAGTCAAACAGTCCCAGTTAAAGCCTGATTAGTTGGAAAAAAATATCCCAGTAGCTTGGTCTGACAACTGCATTCTGTGAAAAAGCAGGAAACGGTTGATCACGTTTCCCTAGACTGTTTCGACGTGGTCTTCTTTTAGAACGTCCTCAGAAAAGACTTTCCATTAACGCCCCATAGCATACATTTTGAGCGGTAGAAGGGAAAAATGACGTTCCGTACGACATGATCAAACTGCTGGGCCTGCACAGGATATGGCGGTGCCGCATAGCGGTACGCCACGGGGGTATCGATGTTCGCCCCATGTTTTGTTTTGTTTAGTTCAGCACATGTGCTTTTTGAAAGAATTCTATCACGACCATAAATCTATACCTGAGTGGCTGCCACTTTTTGAGGTGTTTTCTATCCTCAAAGACTTGTAGCATGTTCGACATTAGCCAAGATGGCTGGTGTCTTTTAGTGTTTCATCGCGATTGCGTGTCACGGCCTGCCGTCGTCCAAATCTGAAAAGAAAAAAGAAAAAAAGAAGCCGCGTGAGTGGCGGAGTTGGCAACGTACGTGGCTGTCACGCAGACGAATGGGGTTCGAATCCCGCTCGTCGCGGATCCTTATTTCATTATTTCTGTATACCCTTCTAACAAATAAACTGTAGTGGGTGATAAATAAGCTGGGGGAGTTGGTACTAGTTGAACTTGATAAAAATATAGCGTTGTTTGTGTTTGGTTCATGTCTCTTTCCTCGTCTTTATGTGCGCTATATTTTCCTCGTGTTTGAATAAATCCCTGCCCATTCAGGGCTGTCATCGAGTGTTCATGTTCAGAACACTCCTGAACGTGCTTCGTGTATGAAGGGAGCGGTGACCCGCTGCCTCGGGTCAGTCACCTTCCGTCGCCGATACGAAACGCATGGCAACCTTCTCTTGAAGTGTGTAGGTGTATGTTCACCTCCTTAAACGTTCATTTTTCGTTCTAAAGGCATATGTTCATTTTATTGGTGATAACATTGCACCAGGTGGAATTTGGATACAAATCAACGCGTAAACAATTATGTGCCTGGAATACGTAAGCTGAATATCCATCCTTACCTACGTCTCGTACAGAATCAACCCCTAATAAAAACTTGTGTTTTATGCTTATACTCACTGACAACGCAGTTATACCTGAAGGTACCTAAGTATATCGCACTCCAAGTCAAATATAAGAATTATAGAAATGCGCGCGATGATTTCTGCGAAATTGTGTAGAAGTTCCGGTGTTCTTTGTTATTGGAACTTTGCTCTAAATCGAATATTTCAAAAGTTAATAAATTCATCGTAATTAATTAGTTGGGAAACTACAAAACTTAGCCCGACCTCATCCAAATGATGAGAAACCTATTTTCTTCCTAAAATCCACCAAAATACTTTTGTAAACCTTGGCTCAAGTTACATGTTTACCCTTTACATCAGAAAAGGACGTTCCGACGCCAGGAATCGAACCCGGGCCTTCTGGGTGAAAGCCAGATATCCTAACCTCTAGACCACACCGCAGACAATTAAATGAGTGAAAAACAAAACAACATCAGTGAGTTTCTTCTTGGACTGAGGGCATCATGGTCTTGAGAATCAGAAGAACACGCGCCTACTATTTTGTATCCGTTGAACCAGCCTTGTGTCTCTCTCAAATAGTCAACTCAAGATACCTGTATTTTAAGTACTTTTTGAAATATCTTGGTACCTTGCAAATAATTTTGATCGCGAGTATTTGATACTGTATTTTAATTACTTTTTTAAATATCTTGTACTTATTATCTAAAATACATTTTTGACATCCTGCCATTTTCCGAGTTTTTCAGTATGAAGTGGCATCGGCGTGGCACGAGGGAACGGGAATATTATTTCCAGCAACCATTGAATCCTGTTGCTAGCTCCGATAAGCTACGGTGACTTCTCGCCTGACAACAGGTGTCAGGAGAAACCTTCTTGAACGATCGTTAATCGACCCGATCAGGCCTTGGACTCTGAGTCAGCAGCGCATCCGCCGGCTGGCTGACACGAAACACCGTGAGACTCGAAGCGGCCGCATCAGCACGGCTAACACCATAAAAAACTTCTCTCATATTATAAAAGCCAGCTTCTCGACATTCTATGCGAAACACTTCCTTTGCTTTCCCTTCTGCAATACTCTCACTCACTCAAGCTGTCACACTCATCGTGATGGAAGACGAAAGTTCTCTTCTACCATGGCCGAATCTAAAATCTTATTTTGAAGGTGTGTTCAAGAAAGGCAGCACTCTGCAAGTGAAATACAAGAGCATATCAATTTTGGCGCAATTATATACTCTATCTCTGGCAGCCAAAGTTTCTGAAGAAAATTTTAGTGAAGCTTTTCTTCACGAACAGTTTGTGGGGACACTTTGATTTCACGAGAAATGGCGATTGGCGTTTCAAAGGGTCAAAATCACTTATTGACAATACACAATTTAAGGCCGAACTTGTTGCCTGTCATAAAGTGAGACCCACCCGGGAGACGTTACATCTCTTTGTGGTGTTGTTACAAAGAAGTAATTTAATGTTTCGACATTAAAAGAGCGAACACAGAAAAGAAAAAGAAAAAAAGACGGCTCTAATTTCTAGGTGTTTCTCGCATTATTCAGTTATAACTTCTGGGGGATATTGACATTGAAAAAATGTCCGGCTCAACTTTAGGTTCTAAATATTTCTTGAATGACGAAATACATTTTAAACAAGAACACACGTAGGTTTACTTCATTGTGAATGAAACGTCCATCATTTCACACGACATTCGGAAGACAAGCGACGTATCGCAGCTTTATATACATAAGCCGGGGTCAAATTGCTTATACATCATACAAAGAGCAGCCTGCATACATATTCGAAAGCGAGTCACCGCGAGATCCGTGCTTTGAATGCTGCATGCCAAAGAGTTTAAACAGAAAATTGGGCCCGCGGCATTTGAACCAGGGATCTTGTGGTGACTCGTATTTGCAGACTGCCTTTTGTATGATGCATGAGCAGCGCGACCCCGGCTATACGCACCCTGATAAGACCTTGTCCCCTGCACGGTTTCACAAAGCACGGCCGGACTGGAAGCGCGCGCTCCTTTTCTCTTCTTACGGCCTTTGCAATCGCCCGGGAGTCGATGACATTTTTTCTCCGTATGTAATTCACTTGCTTGCCGCCAGGGCCGCAACCACCTCACCCCACCTAACCCCACTCAGAGAGTCCCTTCGAGCTGCTTTGCGCTGGTGTTCGAGCTTCGTAGGTTGCTGTTTTGGCAACGGTTTATTGAACTTCGCTTCGATTTAAGTCACTCTACCGACAGGCAGTGTCGTCAGCAAACTGCGTTCCCCTGTGACGAAAAATCAGATGGATATGTCCACAAGCCCTCGAGGAAGCACTTTAGGCTGTAATATGCTCTGTGCGAAAATTGCATAGACTACTACACCCTCGTCTAGAGGAGCTGACCGATTTCATGTGCGCCTATGAAACGATGATGCGGACCACGGCAATAAATAGATTGGGCCTGCTTATATTTCACGAGAGTGTACAAATTATTTATCATTTAAAGTTCCTCCACGTAGAAGGGGTCCGTCTCCTCCTGTTCTTGAGTTGCAACGGAAGTCTTGGAGGTAAAGACGAGTATAGCTTTTCCATAATTGCATTCGCTGTCTCTACTTAATACCTTTTACTCCCGAATCTCTCGGAGATGTGTGTCAAATATTCACCGTTTGGGGCTCATCAGAAGCGCATTAGATAGTGGCTGAGGGTCTAAACGTAAGGATCAGGTGTCAAAGGCTATAAAATCTCGGCTGCAAGTTGCGACAGCGCTTAGATACACTGTCAGACGCGCTCTGTGCAAACGGCAAAGGGTAGCCTAGGGGTGAGGTGACAGCGCCCCCCGGCAATTGCGGCGGGAGGTGGCGATTGCCCCGATTTCAAAGGCCATAAGAAGAGAAAGAGAGCGCGCGCTTCTACGCGCTTCCAGTCCGGCCGTGCACAAAGTAACAAAAAGGTCAGCAAACGCTAGATTAAACAGAAAATGTGAACAACTTCTTTCTTTGTTACCAAATGTTATCGTGATGGTCTGATCCTTTAGCAGGGTAACCGTTCAGCTTCGCGTAGCACGATAGCTGCACACCGGACGGTTTGTAAATCGAACGCACTTGGATGTGTAGGGTGCAACGCACCCACAGATCCATCTTTCTTGTCAACATGCAAGAGTGTAAAGCAAGCCGTGTTCGGTTGCAAAAATATTATATAGGACATATTACTGTTGGTCCAGTTCGGCGGGGTCCTCAAAGAAGCTTTTTCGTTTAAATCTCGTAGACCATACGCCGTCGAAAGCAGAGCATGTGCATCAAGTCAAATGTGATCTTCGCTTCGCGAGTAATATACTCGGCGTACGTGAGGGCAAACATGCCACAGTCGCTGCCGTTCATCTGCTGCGGTTCATCTATGCAAGCAAATGCGACTTTCCACCTCTACGTGAAGTACGATTTTTTGCGTCCGACAGTTTTTCTTCTGGGTGAAACTAATTCTGATTTTGTTTATTTTGGACATCGGGAAATAACATATAAAATTATATATGAAGCAAATTAAAAAGGTCGACCAGCCACCCCCTGTTCGATCTTATCTGAAATCACCCAGCTATGCCTTCCCAAGACGAAGGTGCTCTCTGTTGGCAAAGCTTCGAATTTCGATATCCAGAAGCACCTGAAGATACCTTTGAATTTGTGTTCTTGCTTTCAGGCTTCAGCTCTACATGTACAATTGTTTAATGTTATCTCAAAACATTTGCATTCCAGACAACTCCTCTGTATATTTATTTCACTCTAACTGCAATTAAAATAAAGAACCTATTGAGTTTGGTACTGCATTTGGCGATTGTACTTCCTATTGTCAGGGTAAACCGAAATTATGCGGTGATTTCTTCTAGCGCAAACAAGGACGGATATCCGATGAGAAGTTCAAGAATCAGCATCTGTTGCGTGCTAATAAACAATTCTGGAAGGCCACATTTGCGGAACTGTAGAATTGAGTTTGTCACTGACGTCGATACAAAATACGCAATGTGGAAGTATCTTCAAAAGTAATTAAAAATACATTTCTCAGTACTTGTACTTTACTCAAGATACTTTACAGTGAAAGTAACCTAAGTAGTATTTTAAACACTTTATGAGCCAGGTATATAGTAACTTAACTTAAATACTTTTACCGAGTATTTTGTTCAACACTGCGTTCCACACTCCATACAGGGCGCGAGCAGTGTTCCACACAAGTGATTTTTAATAATTTATGATGTGAGTTAAGGCTGGTTCCCACAGCACCGTTCCTTACGTTACGAACCTTACGTCCATATCCGACCTGCAGTCCTCGGCCCATTGTGCTTCGTATTCCAAGTGCCAACCTACTCATGGTCGCAACGCTTCGTACGAAGCACCGATGTTCCGTTGACTTTGGTCGTATCCCGACGTAAGCGTATACATAAGCTTCGCAACGTAAGAAAATGGTGCTTTGCGAATCAGCCTTTATTGTTTGGGCCTCTAGCACGGAAAAATGTGCTTGGTATACGTAGGATTAAGGAGTACTAATTTGCAACGAACCGCGTGGAAGTGACTGGATTTAAATAGCTGACAGTAGATAAAACGTCGGGAAAGAATCAAGTGTGAAGTCAGATTCATGTCTAACAAGCGAAGACTAACCATCGAGAGTTTAACGCCCTTTACCAACACCTGCTAGATGCAACAGCCCCGCGTCTGCTCAGTGTCTTCCTTGTAGCTAGGCGTGCGTACTAAAAGGCGACACAGCCGGCTGGACTTGGCCCGGCGCTCTGGCATTTTGACTTGTGGCTTCGAATAGAAGTGGTTGTACGATATTTATTTATGCGTGTATGGCGACCGCCTGAGGTATACAGTTTCAGCTTTTATAGTCATAAGTTTAAATGAAGGAATTGACTCTGACTTCTAGACGTTGTTTGTTTAATAATGGCGAGTTTAAAAAAAAAAAGAATAATATTATCGAAAACGCCCTGACGGAATTGATTTTCTATGTGAAATTGAAGAGAGCACTGATCTTTAATCACGAATACAGTAATGTATCGTTAATACGGACTTCGTTAATATAGATACACAGCTATATAGAAAACACAAACAGCTTTCATCATTTTGAAATTAATGAAAATAGCGAAGTGGTTTAGGACTAAATAATATTGCTGGGAATAATGTCAATACGGGAGTGCAAGGAGAAAAGAAAGCTGCGAAACCGCTTGGCATAACTTTGAAGAGCTTGTAACTTGAAAGCCTTTCTTGGCATTTACCTTAATCCATTGGATAAATCGTCGCTCGTCCGTTAGGTATGAGAAACTATGGACCTCCAGGTTCCCGCCATAACTTTCCCAACACCCCGTTAAACAAAGGCTATTATACGAATCGTCCTTCATAATCGAACACTCAAAAGCACACTTTCCAACGGTCCTCTATGTAGCACAGCCAGTGTCCTGTTTTTTGTTGCTCACGAGCCGCCTGGAT